TTTGATTGATGTTCCACATTAGTTCATTTTGACTTAGGGAGAACTATTGTGGCTGGAAATTAAACAAATTAAATAGAATAGTCAAAGGACAAAAGAAAAAGTGTCTTTCCTGTGTGAGCACTTGTAAAATGTGGTTGAGCACGTCTTCTGCCACACTCTGGGGCCTTTCTGTCAGCTGAGGGGAAGGGGCTGCCTTACAATGTGGGCTCTCACAAGAGCAGAAGGTTGAATGGGTTAAGAGGAGACAGTAGGGTCAAATTGCAGTTGAAACTGTAGAAGTTGAGACTTGTAGACTGCAAGGCTGGTGATATTTTTTTTCAGTGTCCTGACAGAAAAATGCTCCATGTTGACTTAGAACTACCCTCTGACATCTAAGGTGGGCACAGACTTAAAATATGGTTTACTTGAAATCAGTTCGCTGGGTTAATAGGTTCTGAATACTTTCTCAACCTTTCATATGCTAAATGTGATTTGTGGTGAGTGGAATGCTTCTTTCAGCGGTTGGAAACTTGGATTCAAATGTGGAACGAGGTGAATGAACAAATGACATTATAATTATGGTGTTCTTGCTTTCTTGAAGATCAGCTTCTTGCAAAACTTTGTCATGTGAACCTACAGTGCCCTAAGGTGATTTTACCTTGGTGTTCTGATCTTTTTTCTGACTCATACTTGAGCTTTCCTTTTGTAAGGACTCGTGAGCTTGACAGGTGACAGATACTGTCGGATGTGCATTCCATTTACAAGTATGTGAGCAAGCATGTTTGGAAGGCAGGGTGAGTTGGCACAATGGCCTAAAGCTTTTTGGAATCCGGGAAGAGTGTGAGGTGGAATGCCAGCGTGGTCTTTGCTGGAACAGCTTGACTTTCCCGTGTGCGGAACACATATTAATGTGTGTTTGCTTTACCAGTAACTTAATTATAAGCAGAATATACCTCTAGAAGTGTTTAATGTCTGCAAAGAATGCCCAGGGCTACCTGTTTTGCATTAACACATTATCAGGACTTTATGTTTTACTGTGAAGAGGTCACAGTGAGCCTTTTCTCTGAATTATTGCACCATCTTACTGTCTCTCCTGTTATTCTTGAAGAACAATTTTACATAATTGTGACAGCTTCATGGACTAATGTAATGCTGAGATGATAAGGTTTGCTTAGGTGTTATTTGTGTAACATACCACGTGCTATGACAAGTTTAAATACACACAAGCTTTGTCATGATCTGTCCCTTTACTTGTCTCTCTACTTACCTGTCACTTTTGCATCATGGCCCCACTCATAGTGAACCTCTTAGAAGCAGATGCCTCACTGAAGTTACACACACCACTCACTCACTCAAATTCACTAGCATCACCTAGTCATTTTTTAGGTCCCCTTCAGATGGGACACTTCCTACACTTACCTTGTCTGCCCTTGCCTCCATTAAATATGGGCTGGTTACGCTACTCTGGGTCCCCACGTGTGCTGCACTTCTCCCTTTTCCATATCTACTTTATGGCTTTGTTCGAGTCACACAAGGACTGTGCTTAAGTGGATTGTAATCTGCCTGAAGTCTGAGAAGCCATCGTTCTGATTCACAAAGTTTCCCTGGTGTCTGGCACAGTCTGTCCTAAAATTTCTTATCACTCAATCTGTGTTGTTTTTTAAATCATAATGCTTCTTATTTATTCTCTATATTATTTTCAGATTCATCAAAGTGAGGAGAAAATAAACCAGGCTGAGAAGCTGATCACTCTTCCAACACAGGAAGATCCCAAAAAGGCCAATGATCTTGCCGGTTCCACTTCAGATGCCAAAACCGGGGAAACTGACAGACAACCAAAAGAGAGCTTTTTTCAGTTTCTTGGTAACTTGTTCAATATCTCAGGAAAATCATCTCTTGGTGAAGCTAAGCAGTCCTCTTTCAAAGAAGGCCATGATAAAACTGAAAGAGACGCTCAAACTCATGGTGACAGTCATGAAGGGATCCAAAGTGAGAGGGAGATTTTCAGTGATCCACTGGGACCCCAGGCAGTTCCAACAGAGGAACAAGAGTCCATGTCAGTTGAACTCTCAGATACCTTTTCTTTGGATACAACTCAGGACAGTGAACAGGAAACCACCGATTTGCCAAAGTAAGTAGAATTTAATTAAGTAAAAAAAAATCAAGCTTTCGGACCTAGCTTTTAAACATAAGTTCTAATTCTCGTTAATTGAAAGAAAAAGTATTTGGTAATATCTTTGCTGCTATGTAAAAGATAGTAAAAAAAATTTTTTTTTGGACCATCCTGGAAATCTAACACCTTTTCAGCTATTTTGGGGGGCAGGACTAGTATTGCCTTTTAGGTAATTAATTGTCACAGTAGAAGATTTTTTTTGTTTTTAATTTAAGCCTTCTTTGAATAGGAGTGTTTTTGGTTGTCTGAATTCCTCTTGCATTAGGACAGGCAAGGGTTCCGTATGTCCATTTTAGGAACCGTAATGGACCTAATATTCGTATTTTCATTCTTTCAGTATTCTTTTTTTGTGTGTGTGTGTGAAATCTAGGTAAATTATTTAAGAAAATTAATTGACTCTATTCATGAAAATAGCTTTATGAAACTTTTACCCAGCTCTTAGAAGCCAAAGTCTTACATGAATTTGAGCAGCATTTTACCACCCATTTTTCCTTTGTTTGATTAATGAATAGGAAGCAACTTGTTTCTCCTTTTACTCAAATGAGCCAAAAAATGTTTTTAATGGTGTTGAGTACATTAGGCATCTTGGGTAACTATCAGGAGTGTTAATTCATAACTATCAGGGATCTGTTTCATTGACTTTTATTTGGGCTTCACTTGAGAATTGGTTATTCAAAGAGGTCATCAATAATACTGAAGTCATGTAAAGATAACTTTCTGTGTACTTTTTTTTTTTTTGGTAGTTTCAAAGCTTCCTGCAAGCTAATTCCTCATAGCAAATTTATAAGATCAGACCCAAATCACAGTTCTAAGAACGGAGACCCAAATAGATGAGAGTTTGCCCATCAAGTGATGTGGTAGAGCTTGTTCTACCAGATGTTGAAATATACTGATAAAGATATAGTATCTGCAGCTGTGCCAAACAGGTATAATATTTGCTATAAATTTAAATGGAGCAGAATTTATGAGAGTCTAGAAGTGGACTCTCATAAAATTTAAAATCTAAACCTGTGGTGAGGACATTTGCATTCTCCTTGAAATGTGGATTCATTGAAAAAACTGCTTAACAATTTGGAGGAAAAAAGTTACTTCTCATTTTTATATTAAAACAAATTAAAATAGAGTTACAAATAAATGTTTACAAAGTAAACTAAGAGAAGCAATATATGAATTATTATTTTACTTTTGATAAAAATCACTTTATAAGCATAATAGCAATGGAAGGTATTAAAAGAGATCAAGAGAAAGATTACTCCCAATTTTCAAATTCCTGTATGTCAAAAAACATAACCATTGATAATTTAAATGGAAAATGAGAAAAATCATATACAACAATGACAGAGAATAATTGGTCAGCAATTTAGATACTAATATAATAAAAGATAAAAATGGCAAACAATATAAACAATTTAAATAGAAATATAAACCACTAACAATTGAAAAAGTTTGTTTTCACTAGCAATCAAGGAAATGAAAACTAAAATGAGAATTTTTTCTCCTTTAAATTGAAAATACTAATAAATATTTTTCATGAGTCAAAGTAGATAAAGCCAGTGCTCATATACTCTGCTGGGAATGGGGGATGTAATTTGATAGCATGTTTTAGGAATTCAGTTGGCATTATGTATCAAGAACTTTAAAATGTACAAGAACTTTACAATTTTTTCTGATGATATACAAAGGTGTTCATTTAAACATTATTTTTCATTGAAAATAAATGTCCAACAAAGTGGCTCAATTGTGAATCCATTATATGGGATTGTTTAAAGTAACACTATGGAAAGTGTGGTTCCTGAAAAAGTAGCATCAGCATCACTCAGGAATCATTAGAGAAGCATATTTGTTGACCATGTCTCCACCCCCTGCTCACCCCCACCCTCCTTCGCCCCATCCCCCTGGCACTGTGGATGAAACCCAGGTCCTGATTTCAAACTCCAGTTGGCATCTCTGGGAGCAGGGTCCAGCAAGCTTCTAACAACTTTTCCAGGTGATTTTTTTTGCACACTGATATTTGAGATCCAGTATTGTGAAGTAATTTAAAATGATGGAGAATTGAATAGAATGGAAAGTTCACATTTTTTCTTCTTTGGTTCTGATTAGTTTGGTTAAGCTTATTTCTTTGGCAATGGACAGTAGAAAATGACAGTGGATACCGGGCTTATTTCTTGTTGGTAAACTTTCTTTGATAATGGAATAATCACTTAAGGCAATTCTCTAGAACCAACTCAGCAAAGAAAGATTTTTTTCTTAATTTAGGAGGAAAGAAATAATGCCTGAACTCCCAACTAAGAAACAGTCTTCCTCTAGGCCTAGCTTTGGAAATGCCACAGTTGATCAGGCTAAGAACTACAGTTGATAATTTGTCAATTTCTATCGATAGTTACTATTAACAATTATCAGTTTGTTTAAGAATTGTGACTTAAAAGTTGAATCCTATTTTTATAAGTTTGTTTTCACATTATAGTGAAGAACTGCTCACAACTGATTTTAGTTGTTATTTAAGTAATACACCTAGAAAATTATTTTAAAATAATTCTGAGGGGCT